CTGTGAGACTAGCTTTTTTTTGCAGGGCAAAATATTGAGCAGTCAAGAAACAACATAACTATAGAATGAATGTAGCTAAGATGAGGAAATTGAGATGGATAAGTGGCAAGACAATACCGGATAAAATTCGAAATGAATACATTCAGAAAAATTCAGGTGTGACGCCAATAGGTAATAAAATAAGAGAAAATAAATTTAAATGGGTTGGCCATGTATGGTGCGGACCCTATACAACGCTTGTTAAAAAATGCAAGTTAGTTCAAGTAAAAAGCTCAAAAAGGGCAAGAAGCATGCCCAAAAGAGCATAGTTGGAAGAATTGAAAAAATATTTGTGGACTTATGGCCTCATCAAGGGTATGACCCTTAAAAGATTAGAAGTGGGGACTAGGATTTGTATAACGATCTCCATTAGTTGAAAAAAAATTACGACGATAAAGAACTTTTACATTTGATTTCTCTTTTTATTTACTTAGTTTTTCTCTCTAAATTCCATGGAAATTTGGGGCATACATATCATAAAGTTCAAGTGCATTGGACATGCGAAAGATAAAATATCGATCTTCCATTTTCAAGTATCCTGAGGATAAATTTATCCTTTCCCACCTTATTCACATGGATTTTAATCATCGGGGGTAAATATTGTTTTGAAATAATGCTCTCGACATGTTAATGTCTCTCAATCACCGAACATCAACTTTTTAAACTCCCATTAAACTTGGGACCATATAGATATCATATGGTGAAATGGACATATCTATTATGCCTATATTTGGAAGGGTTGAAAAAAGGAAACCCCATCTTCGATCGATATGATGCATTTCAAAAGTGACGTATTCCCAAGAAAAAAGATTAAAAAAATGATATTAAGTCCCACGCATTTAAGAAGGTTGTTTGAGACCACACAACCAAATGAACGAGAGAGACTGGATTTTTTATATGATACGGTTTGCATAAGGTTACAACCTGACAATAAGTTGTACAACCAAATTTTATCATAAAATGTAATTTTGATGTAAAAAACCCTTAGGATATCCTGAAAATCTATTTTTATCTCTAATTATAAATTTTTAGATTCTAAAAATGGTTCAAATCAAATAGATTTATAAACATATAAAAATCTTAAAATGGCCTGCCCAGATAATGTGTTGCCAGATACATTATTTTAAGATTCAAAATCTTTTTCTTCCTTTTTCATATTCGTACAACTTGATATTGAGATGATCAATTAGTGGGTTTTCTTATTTTCAAAATAACATTTTAATATGGATTTTGTAGATACACCTGAATTATTCATTTTGATATTGCAACCTTATATAAAAGTATTCTTTATTTCTATAGTGAAAAAACACTCGATATTTTCAATTTGGCTTGTCTCCTTTGTACTTATAAAGGATTTTATTTTCAATCATATATAAACTTTTTATTTATTTTTATAGCGAAAAACAGAAAAACACTACATATTCCCATTTTGGCTTGTTTTCTTTGTACTCATATTTTAAAGGATTTTATTTTCACAATGTCATGTGCATTTCCTTGTTACATAATTGAGAGATGGATCAAGGAAGTGAAGATGGGGATTGTGTTGGATGGTGATGGTGTTCGGATCAAGGGTGATTGCAACAGATAATACCTATGATGATTTAACTAAAGTTGCCTTTAAAATTGTAGCAAGTGGGTCAAATAGTGAAAGACTTTGGTTATTAACAAAAAAAAATACTACCATAGTATCATATATTTATTATGGAAATAGCATTCATTAAAATATATTTTTACTATAATAATATGTTATTTTCGTAATTTATTAATGTCATATTATATAACTACTCAAATACTTGGATTTTATAAGAAGTTTAATATTATAATATTATATGAATAGCAATTAGTCGGCTTTTATTTGGGATAAGATTTGAATGATGATGATAATAATGATAATTATTGTAATATCATATTATAATATATTATAATAGTATTATAAAAATATAATAAAATTATAATATCGTATTAACATAAATAAAATAATTTTATATTATTTATTTATTATAATGTATCATAATAATTGAAGTAATAATATTATAATAATTCCAAAAATAATGATGATACTATTATGTCCTAACAATTTTATTATATAATAATAATATAACATCATATTAATATTAATTATATATATATATTATTCTTATTTAATTATTGTAATTATGATGTTAATGTTTGAATGCACGCATTTCATGAAATGTAATGTTGGAATAAATGAATCTCACCTTTACAAGTACATAAATTTTAGTTGAGCTCGTTGAACCTGAGATATTGGTCATTGTTAGTTATCTGAAAACAAACTTGACAACTTTGAAAGGGGGTGTGGTTTCTATAAGGTTGCAACCTTAACAATCCAATTAAGGCGCATCTTCAAATTTGATCGTAACATATAATTTTGACGTAAAATATTTTTAGGATTATCTCAAAACTATTTTCATTTCTAATTATAAAATTTTAAACTCCAAAAATAGTTAAAATCAAATAGATCTATAAACATATGAAAATTTAACATAGATGGTCTAGATAAAATGTTGTAAGACTCACTATTTCTGGGACTCAAAATCATTTTTTCTTCCATAATCATACATCTTGAGGTCGAGATGCTCAATTAGAGGGATTTTCAACATTAAAATAATATTTTTCAATGGATTTTTTAGGTTCATCTGTAGTTCTACATTTTAAGGTTGCAACCTCATATAAATTTTTTCCTTTTGAAATATCGTCATTTATTCCTCATTTGGATAAACTCTAAAAAGGACCTATACAATTCTTAAATAGAATACTCACAATAATGAGAATGAATAATTTTAAAAAAATAATGATACAATGAAAGTTTTTAAATTTCCTAAAGATGATGCATCTTCAAGGCAATTCAAATAACGAAGATGCATCTTTCACGTCTCTACCTGATGCTATAGGAATAGCATAAACCCATCTTCCAGGAAATGTCAATTTGAGGAGATACCAATTCCAATATATGTATATCCCTACAGTCCCATTTATGGGGAACCAAATGGGGCTGAGAATGCACTTTATGGAAAAATTATATAGTCACGGTGCAATTGTACAACTTTTAAGACTAAGGTTGAAACTATTAATTGACGCATTTAGTTTTGGATGAGGTTTCTATAAGGCCTAGGCTTTATAAAAACAATATAAAACCCAACCTCAAATCCTAATATAAAAAAGCATCTTTGACAACAGAAATCTACATGGTGGCTCTAAAATCAATTTCTTTTCCAACATGGACAATAAAAGTTGAAACTAAAAAAATGGTACAGACCTTGTGGATCTAAAAACAATTATTTTTAGGGCAAAATGGATGGTCTAAATAATTTGTTACAAGAACATTAATTTTAATGCTTGAAATCCTATTTTTTTCACCAACATAATGTCAAGCCAAGATAATCGATGTAAAAGTTTTGTAATGCTTGAATTACAATTTTCAATGAGTTATGAGGTGAGGTTTAAATTATTTTAATAGAGCTGTAGTCCTATCAATATCATTTTCCATTTCTGAAATTCGCCAAGAACTTGCTAGTTTGCACTTTTGCAATTTTGACATTGACATGCCTATAATGGAAATGAAGCCGAGAGAAACAATGACATAGCCTTAATTGCCTTTCGCTATCCACTTCTTGAGGTAAACTCTTGTCCTGGTTACCAGTTTTAGTACAAGAACTTGTGGAAAAAATTAGAATGATGTGTATTTTTTTTTTTTTTGGTCTTTTTCATTGTAGACATTTCTTTGTTTAGTTGTAGATATGTATTATCTATATTATTAGTTTAACCCATCTTATCTAGAATTAATCTTAGGTCATATTCACACCATTTCAGATTTTGGGTCCATCATATTGCATTTAAAAAAATAATTAGGAAAAACAAATTGATCAAAATACCTCTAAAAGATTTAGAAGGTATTTTGTTTTATACTTTTTTTGCAAATTATTTTTTGATATTTTTATTATATTCTTCTATTTTTCAAGAATACATGTTCAAAAATTCAAGTGATTTAAATTTGTAGAAAAAAAATTAAAATTCAAATATGACATGAGGTCGTGACTGTAAATCGGCATACACTCAATACGGGTTGTTGGGCTCATATGTAGTTGTGAGCTAGTGGGCTAAGCATTATATATCCAATTGGATGGTCTGAGATATGTCACCAAGTTCAAGAATTTTTTGGTTAGGCTTTGAATTTAGTCACAAGTACATTTCTAACTATTTTATTTAAAATTTGATGGACAAGAATAATTGTCACCTCCTATGTGTATGTGTGTGTATATATATAAATGGAAATATATTTCCTAAGTTACTAGCTATAATGAATAGTATAAGCGACTAGTTCTTAGCCGTCAGATCTTCATCAGGTATTCAAAATTCATATCACTACTGAATTTTAATTTTTTTTTAGAAATTAGATTGTAAGGAAATTTTAAACGTATGTACTAAAATATAGTGTGCACAATAAAAAAATATATAAAAAATATTTTCTAAAATATAAACTGACCAAAATACCTCTAAAATATGAAGGTGGTTCATTTTAAATTATTGAAAGTAATTGTTTTATATTTTTATATGATGCGTAATAGTATTAGGTATATACATCCAAAATTCACTATTAATTTGAATTATAGAAAAACAATTAAAATTATAATAGTGATCTGAATTTTGAACCACTCAATGAATATTTAATGGCCGAGAATTAGTATCTTAAAAAATACCTTTTCATATATATATATATATATAGACTACCAGCTTCTGCATGCTGAGGCACTTATTACAACCAAGACAACAATTCCTTCAATCACCAAACACATAAAATTAGGAAAGTATAAAGAAGGTAAACAAGTGCAGTAAAAGAGAAAAACACGAGTGAAACTCGAAAGGAAAGCCACTTGTTCACCTAGTGATTAACTCGAGTTTAAAACATCAATCAGGACTTCAGGTAATTTCTCAGAGCTCCATTAATGGTGGATTCTGCCTTTGAGGAAGTTCTTGTACCAATAAGCAGAGAGTTTTGGATACCTCTTCAAAGTCTTGTAGTCCACGAAAACAAGGCCAAAACGAACAGAGAAACCAAGGTACCATTCATAATCATCCATCAATGTCCAAGGGAAGTAGCCGTTTACATTCACTCCTTTCCTGAGACCCACAATTTCCCATTTATTATCCAGATCTATCCAAATTGCTTTGGAGGATTGAAATGGTATTTCTATTTAATTTTCCCATCAATGTTGTCTCTTATAGTAATTTTACGAAAAGATTTTAAGGTAATATGGTATTTTTCGCATCTTTATTTCATAAACCTTAGTTATTTGTCATTGGTTATGAGGATCCTCTTTTTAATCTTTTGTTTTATGTAATGTTGGTCCTAAGAACTCCACCATTGCCAATCCCAAGACAGATGAAAAGGGGGAGTGTTATGTTTGGCTAGTAACCAACATAAAAGTTCTACTACATCCATCATGAATCTGATCTAAAGTTACAGGCTTAAGCTAAGGCATTCTATTTATTTGACGCACCATATTGGCACCTCGGTACAGTGAGAAATGAGCAAAAGTTTGATAGAGAATTATGTGGAATGATGCAGCATAATAAGGTCCGGCTTCGGTAATAAGTAGGTACGGATTCCAAAGAAATATCAAATAAGTGGAAAAAAGATTTTTGTAGTATACCCCAAATAGTTTGGATAAGATTGAGAGATAATGTTGATGATGATGGTCACAAGGATTTTGTTAGTCGTTTTGATAAATTTGGTGCGTTTTTGTCAGTTTTAGAATTAGGAGTATCTGAAAGTAATTCTCCAACTGGCTTGTTGTGTCTTAAAAGAGTTCAAGAATGTAAACTAAACTATACTTGTTTCAAATACTATGTTAACTGCCTCAAACTTCCGATGTCAACAAATGCTTGATATATGCCTTACCTCAAACATATATATATATATATATATATATATATATATATGGCGAGACT